AGTAGGGTTTATACATACGGCTTTTTTAAGTAGCAGGAAAGGCTACAGTGCACTGGCTGATACAAATATGTTATCAAGCAAGTGTTCCTCTGCTTTTGACACTTTTCAGACAGAAGTCCCTCATGCAGTGCTTGATGCGGAAAGATCTGGGTGCTGCACCTCTATGAAGGATGCAAAGCAATGAAACTGAAGGACATGGCAGGACGTGACATGGGAGGTGAAGGGTGGATTCCCTAAAAGCCCTGAGCACAACCGAAGTGTTCTGATCCAGGCTAGCACACAGCAGAAACAAACACAAGTGAGGGCAGTAAGCCTGTCTCAGGCTTTTTCTCATTTAATTTCAGATTAATCACTGAGCATTTGCATACAAGCTTGGAAACAGAAGCAAAGCTCTAGTTAGTTAACAGCTAAGCGGAGATTTTGCATAAGCAAATACCACACAACGGAAGGAGGCGGAGAATGGAAATAGCTTTTGGCTGCTACTGCAGGTTTCTGGTGCGCACCGAGAGACAAGGGAGACAGAGCAGTTCAAGGATCGCTTTAAGATGTGCAAGCTGACGATAATCTCTAAAGGCCCATAATGTATCAGTGTTCTCTAGAAATCTGGAACAATACCTTCTGATCCCAACAGGAATGACGCCAAATGGAGGACAGAGGAGCAGCTTGTGTCAGCTTTGTGTCATCTGAGAACAGCATGGGCCCAAGAATGCCTGCAAGGCCAAGGATCTGAGTCCTGCTGTGGTTTGGGTAGGTTTCAACTCCTTGCAAGGACAAAGTATTTTGGGATATTTAGCCCTCATGATAAAATGAAGTTTCTTGGAGTGGGGGCAATCTGGGCAGGTGGAGGGATCACACATTAAAATGGTGCTTCTCTACTCCTCTGCAGATTATGTTTTCATTACGGTCTTAAGCTGAAGATAGCTAAAATATAAAGTCTGGTTTTATTCTGGTCGGTTTGGTGAATTCAGCTGAGTTTGGAGCAGACACAGAATAGTCCTCACAACTAAAAGCATTTGATTAACTGAACAAGTTGACATATGGCTTATGCAGAGAACAGACTAACAGACTTCCAGAGTTGGAACTGCCTTTTCACTTTAGACTGGGCTCTTCAGGACAGGCTCAGGGGAGCCACTGCTGCTTATGCCCACAGACTGCCCGGGACTGCGCTGAGGCACTGCTCAGCTGGAAACTTTCACGGGCAGTAGTTAAAAGCCCCACGACTCTTGCTTTGCACTCATGATGGAATTTATACGCTGTATTGGTGCTGCTCATCTGACTCCCCTGGTGGATACAAAGAGATTCTCTGTAGGAACACAAATATTACTGTTTCTACTACTATTTAAGCCTATTACTACATATCACAGTTGTAAATAGCGCTGACCCAATTACAATCTTAGTCTCATGTAATAATAATATTAATCCCATGAACTGGCACAGAAGTTCCCCAGCACCTCAACTGTATTACTGGATTCAGGATTATGGTCAGCTATACGTAAGCAGTTTCTGGGGCATTGACTGGCCCAGACTTAAACAGATTTCTAAGACGTCAATATCATACAGAGGTAAAATAAACCTCTGCACTATGAAATCAGCTGCTACACTGCAGGCACCCTACCGAAATAAGCAATTACCTCATTTACTAATGACCTGTGAGAAACAGACTCCATATGTATGTTGTTTCTTAGCTACTGTTCTAGAAAGCAGCTCAATCTGTTAACTGAGCACAGCAAATACCTAATTAAATTAGATCTCCAACAAGCCTGAGAAAAATGTATTGAAAGCACTCTGCTTGATTACAGACATTGGTCCAAAGTAACAGACCTATTGATCTGGTCAACTTCAAGCTTATTCGCTTCACCCAATTTAATTTGAGAAGAACAATAACTAAATTTTAGCTGGATCTCCTTTCCCACTCTCCAGGGAAATAATCTGAAGTGACTCTGAGTTCAGGTGGCATACAGAAAATAGTTAGGAGGTCAGAGAAAACATTTATTTTGTTGCAACTATGGACACAATGTTACATTAAGAATGCAAATATGGTTTCCAGTGCAACAATTGCATAGTGCTGCTGACAGGGTCATATGCTGTGAACAAACTTCCCTGGTCGAGGCAATAAACCAGTTGTTCTACAAATTCAGGATGATATTAAAAACCATACTTCAATAAAGTCCTCTATAGGTGCAAACTAAATGAAAACAACTGAAAAAAAAAAAAAAAAGACCCAAACCAAAAAACCCTGCCAGCTGTGCCTGAATATAGCGGCTGCTTGATTTTGTTATGCTCTGGGCCAATCCAACATTAATCCTCCATCTACTGGGCAAGACATCTATCCAATCTGTCCAAGAAGAATTTCCTTAATTAAAGGAGAATGAACATTCAAACTGGCTTGCTGTACACAAAAGGCAGCTCTCAGTCTCTACGGAGCAATTCAAGGCTTACCCTCCCAGGGCCAGCGGTCCGAACACAATTCGGGTCAGTAACGTCCCACTGCTGCTATCGTCTGGCAATTCCTCTAGCCGCTTACATGAAACAAGCTGATGACCTCAATTCTGTTTCCACCAGAGATGCTTCCATGACAGAAGGACATCAGTAACGCAAGCAGCATCCCCGCTAACAGTTCCCGCAGACAGGCCGGCCACTACTAGATCAGCACGATTAATCCCTTACCCTTCCAGTCCCAGGCCCTGCCTATACTAAGGAAATCATGAAATATTCCGTAACATAGCCAGTACATGCGTGGCTCCACAAATGCTTGGTCCACTGGGGATTCCAGTATAGACCAACCAAGTCAAGCAGTACGTGCACACAGAGAATTAAACAGCATCTTCCTCATCATCTCATCCAACCCTCTGCTACTGCTGGCAGCCAGACAAAACTAACAGTTTCATGCAGAGATACTAAGGGTAGCTCTAGCATTAATGCAGCTGTATTAACCAGGCCAATTAAAAGTCCACTTTTTTGCTTTCCTTTGAATACAATCCTAATGTAACGATCATGGGTTTAATAGGTACCCTTGCATAGTCCTACATTTCATTATAGAAACATAACTTTTAAAGTTCCATTTTCAAGGTAGCTTGAAGGAGTAGTCTTCCTCCTTACTGTTTCTTCAGAACCACAGTCCTCTTGTCTGTTAGACACCTCACAGTGTAATTTCTGGCCTAATATAGCCACAACTGGTTTATATTAATCTGTTCTTGCTCCAGTTTTGTCCCTAAGTTTGAACAGCCATTAGCTCCCATTCTTACTTGCTTCCTCCAGTACTTGTAAAGAGAAATCAAATTCAGATTTTGCTTTGCCAAGTTGAACAGGACCATCTCTTTAAGTCACTCCTCCAAGTAAGCTGCCCAGTTCTCTGACCATCTTCTATGTCTTTGTTCTGCCAGTATAAAATGAACCTCTCCAAGAGTAAAAGATAAGAACTACGTATAATATTCTAGATCAGATCTCACTACTCCTTATACAGTCTTTCCAGTCTCTACTGGAAATAACTTATCTGGCAGATCCTAGGATTGAATTTGCCACCATGCATCAACAGCTGAGCCATGGTGATCCCTGACAGATTTCCCCTTTTCTGATTTTTAACTGAGGAGCTCCTGGCTCTCAGCATAAATTCTTGTTACCAATCTTTTAAGCACCTTAACTTGTGTTCCACTCTTCTCAAAATTTAAATCTTTTTCTATTAAATCTATCCTCAAGGTCACCTGTTTTTTTCTTGTTTGACATCCCAATATTGATCTGTTATCATCTGCAGTGCCAGTAGCTGCATTTGGGTAAGCAAATTTCACAAGCACAAGTTCCTATTCTCTGCCCACTTGCCCCTCCCCACCCCAATCCTGCAATAATTTACCAGATGCATAAATGCTACTTCTGTAGCTCAAGAGATAGTACCACCTCTGTTTAAAAAGAAGTGTCACTATAAAATCAGTCCAAAAACTTCAGGACTGAAAACAACTTACACCTATGGTATATAATAAAACTAAATTTTACAAAGGAAAAGTTGAAGTGGTCTTGTTTTATACGATAGCAGATTACCATTCTTCCCTCATCACACATACCCTTTTTTAGTGCTAAGAGAGGCTAGGGAATATTGCATAGGTAATTTGTGGCTCAATATCTGAAGACTGGAAGTCTCACACAACGCAGCTTCATGCTAAAATGATACAGTCACTACAGAACAATGTTATTTTAGAAAGACAGTTTTTGCATAAAAGCTCGATCTGTTGCCAGTAGGTAAAAAGCAACACTTCCAATAATTTTACCAAGATACAGTGGATTAAATTGTTACTCAAATAGAACACAAACATGAAACTGTCTGTTTTAAAACCAAAATTATTTCACATCTAGCCAAAACTCTGCAGATTTAACAGGGGCAAAGCTAACAAATTCTAAAAGTAACAGAGATTGGGCTCACGTTCTCTTGGGTCTTTTGTCTTTTTTGTGAACAAATTTCCAGGGTTTTTTTTTTTTCACTTTGGACTCCACACAAAGCACAAGGCCTTTATCTGACCTTGCAGTATCATAAAATGTAGACAGGGAAGCAGGACATGGCTGGGACTACTTATTGTTCAGTTCTGAGAATTATTACCCACTGACAGGAGCCCTGCTCTTTTTCTTTCTCCTAATCACAAATTGAATTCCCATCAAAAACAAAGAAATATTTGTTGTTTAAAGGAAAAAAAATGCCTCACAGGAAAATTCACTAAATGAACATCTGCTTTCTCTATAGACAAGTTACATATGCTTCCTTGGAGATGAGTATCAGGTTTTCTGTTAACACACGATTTCTGACATGAGGTTGTTGTACACCTTGGCATTTCATCACACACTCTTCTTCAATTATGTGCAGTTTTGTCCTAGTTCTGTAATTTGTGTAGCTCAACTTGAAAACCAGAAAGCCTTACAGCCAATACAGGAAGGGAGATTAAAGAGAAGCTTGTCCTGGTGACAAAATTATACAGGCTCAGAGGAACAAGAAGCCACCATCTATGCAGCAGCCTTACCCTTCTACGCAGTCTGTCCCTCTCTTCACGAATAGCGTTCATGGTGGCCTTGGTCCGGTTCAGCTCCTCCTCTTTGCTACACAGCATGGCCGTGAGGCTCTCATTCTCTTCCCGCAAGCCAGCCAGCTCCTTTTCCCATCGAGATCTCTCTTCAGATAGGTTCGGGTAAAGGTCACGTCCCAGTACACCCTCAATCTCTTCTACGGTCTGCGAAAATACAGTCGTCAAAAACCAGAAGGCAGCACAGAAAGACGGTTGAACAAAACTAATGGTAACAGGACAGAGGTGTGTAACAGGCAACCATATATCCTTACATGTACACACCCAGCCCCACAACACCGTTACTTTGCTTCTTTTGTTTGATAAGTAATATCAAGCAAAATAATTGCTTATTTTGACAGTTTGACCATTTTGTTAAAATATTACATACTGACCAACACCAAAGCAGATGGATGTTTTATATGCAAATAAAACTTATGTCACCTGTGAGTGACAGCAATCCCAGTTGTTTCATCTCAGACCACTTTAAAACAAATTGATGACTCTGTCATGGGTGAGCACTGTGCTGCTTGTTGCCCTGCCTGAGCAACAGGCAGAAAGTAGCAGCCTGCGAATGTGCATGGCATGGGGCCTTTCTTAGTTTTAGACCAACTCCACAAAAAGGCAAGAAAAAGAGTGGGACAGTAAAAGAATAGGACCCTTCTTTCCCATGTCCCTGAGCATCTTCTTTCCTAGAGGTCACAGGGAGATGAAAGAAAGAAAACTGGCCTTGGCTAGGTTTGCATTATACGAGAAGATGTTACAGCTTTTCTACAGCCTAAAAAAGTCTGGGTTTCTCTGGTACATATAATGCCTTCCAGCAATTCCGGCCCCATCCCCTTACTCAGAACTGTGCCTTGCAGGCACCATTCAGCACAAAGGATATTCAGCAGCTTCCACTATGTGAAACTGAACTACAGGCACACTCCACCAGCAAGGGAATACTGCCATGCCTAAGCTTACCATCAGACTGGTCGTTCAACATGTTGAAACACGGAGCAACACTCAACATGTCAGGTAACTACCTGCAGTTCTGATTCTACTACACAGCACATGCTGTGCCTGTGTTAATCTTTTTCACTTAGGGAAGACCTTTGCAACACGCAAACCCCCTCCAATTGTTGGTTATAAGCTTCTGAATCTCTCTGAAAGCAGTCTGCATTAAAATGGCAGGAAGAAACAGAAAATAAATGAATACGTGATGTAACTAGCAACCTAGAACGTTTCATTTCGTTGGATAATCCAAGAACGAGTAACAGATGAAGCTTATTCTTTTAAGTTTAATATGGAAGAAAACTAACTTGCGTATTAAGGATAAAAATAGTCCGCTCAGCTGTTTTATTCAAAAGCACTTAATTTTCATATATAACAAAAACTACTAACTGAAGTTTATGTCCTTAATTTGCAAGGGACTGGAAGAATCAACCAGAGCACAGCTGAAAATGACAGAGTTGAAAATACAACTCGCTTTTTTTCTGCAAGAAATCTTCCCAGTGTTTTCAGCATTGTCTGACACTGAAGTATCAGTGAAATTTTATTATTTGTCAATTATAATGAAAAGTAGGTTATTTATTGTTACCAATACATTAATCATAAAGATTAAATCTTGGCTACAGCAAGACTCCTTAGTGAGGAGGAAAATACACTCATACAAAAGGAAAACCACCTATTTTTTACATCCAGTTCAAGATGCCTCCATGGAAGAAGCAGGGACAAAACTTTTGCAGTCAGGTTCAGTTTATCCCTTTAAATCATATTTCATGTCTCTTGTCCATAAAACTGCAATACCTTTAGAGTCATAAATATAAAACTCCATTGACAGAGTTTCTACACTATAATTCTGCTTACATATTTGGTAGTAAGCTTTTCTAAAAGAGCAATGCCTTGCAACATCTCTGTAAGATGAAAGAAGCCGCAGCTCTCTCTTAGTTTCACTTGGACATATACATCATGAACTATGACAACGTAAGCTATTTCAACACAAGGATGAGTTCAAGTTCTGAATAAGCACAGGGTGGTTAATCTTACAATGTGAAGAAAAGCTCTGTAATGGCAGGAGCATTCTCTCTTGATGATGCCAGCTTTATTTTAAACAGTGCCTCTTCGTTGTTGTCTTCTTCTCTCCCTTCCTCCCCCAAACCCCTCTCCTCTTTCATGCACTTCCCCTGCTATTTCCTCACCCCTCTAATGCCAAGCTCTACTGCTGCCTCGTTCCTCCTTATTCCCCATACTCTTAGTGTTGCTATTTTTCCAACCCCTCCCTTTCCCAAGCCTCTTCCCCTCCTCAGAGCCCTGCTGGGAGCGATAAGCCTGGAGCAACACTGAAGGAGGAAGGACTGTCATAAGGAAGCAGCAGCAGGGGCTCAACACCACGGAGGTGTCTTCAGACAGAGAGGCTGCTGCTGCTTCTCCAGACTCCATTGCATTGACCACCTGCCCACGCAAGAACAAACTTCAGGCAGCAACAGCATCAGCATGGGTCTGACAGTCGGACTAAGGGCTGCCGTATAGTCCTGTGGGAACTTTCTGCTTGCTTCTATGCTCCTTCATTTTGACATGATCTATGTCCTTTTGCTGACTAAACTATTACCACAATTCTCCAGTTTGATGACCAACATGCTACCATCCTCCATGGTACATAAAACATAAATATTGTACATAGCTATATCTATGTAAACTACTAGGTTGTTTATTTTTCTTCAAAGCAGTATTACAGAGCAGTTTTATCCGGCATGCTGCTGCACGGCAGATAAATTCAGGTATAATTTCACAGATTATAGGATTGAATTACAATATAATGTTCCAAGCGCAAGGCACAATGTCATATCATGGTAATTCCAGTCTCATCTCTGACACTGCCATCAATATTCTCGCATTACAGGCGTGGTATCAGATGAAATCAGCAAGTATTGGGTTTAAAAGAAGCAAAACCCAGCACTTTTTCACAAGGCGTAACTCAGCAGGAGAATTTATTCCTACCAGGAGGCCAAAAATTTAGATGGGTTAAAAAAAACATTAGGTACAAACATGGAAGAAAATTCCACCCATGACTATTAAACACAAAGGCATCACCTCTGGCTCAAGAAGTTCCTAAACCCACCTTGCTGGGAGCACCTTTGAAGGAAGGAGAAGGAGGATATCCTATGAATGTCCTTTCTGATCCAGTCTTTCCATGGGCATCTGCCACTAGACAGATGGACTTCTGATACAGCCCAGTGCAGCTGTTCTCATGTTCTAAAAGGTTCATGTTTGGAAATGTTTAAGTCTTTTCATAATTGCTACAGTTTTGGTGGTAGTTACTGATAGTTATTTATTCTTCAAAATATAACAAGCATTAACCAGCCTACTCTCTGGAAATTTTCTTAAAAAAGGATAGTTTTCTAACTGTTCAGTTTATCAGACAATCTGATAAATCTCATTTCAAGGACTTTTCATTCTTTGTGGGACAGAAACAACTGAGATAGCTAGGGTCACATGATTTGTATAAAAGAAGTGAAAAAACCCAAATTTACCAGCAACAGCATTAAAAGAAACCCAGTAAAATTTAACCATCAAAGCAGAAGGATTCAAAACATTTACATGCATCAGTCCACCTGTGAAGAAAAAAGCCAACAAAGCAAAAGGCAGTCAGAATATCTCAGGCTCCTGTTCATGATTCCACCTGTTTTAAAAATTTCTCTGTCTGAGGCAGCAGGAAAGGAGAAATGACCTGCAGCCATGGGTGAAATTGTGGAGAGGGGCTCTACATGTAGGTTTTGCTGTATTGCACACATTGGTGACGCACTTCCCTAGCACATAATCAGAGCATGTCAGAGAGATTCCTATCTTCCTGAAGGGTTAATAACCTTCGCATGCTACCATTTGTCAAACACAAGCAATCCCAGGCTCTACAGCACAGGCAGTGGGGAAAAGCCTTCCTGAAAAATGGCTATACGTGTAGAGATCACATGAAAATAACAGGCCTGCATTTTGGACCAGGAAGAAGCTGCTGACAGTTACTTATCATTAGAGAAGCTTGACTGTAGTTCATTTGAATCAACAGTGAATAATGGGGTTAAAATAAAAAGCTTGAGAATTAATCTTATGGCAGCTATTTTGACATTTTGTCGAATCCACCTCCTGCAGAAGTTTTCACCTCATCTCACTTCAGAGACCTCTGCGGACCTCACACAGACCAATCTCTAGCTGTCTTCCAGGATCCACCATCTCTCTCTTGGTGAATACTGACTTCTGGGAACTCCAGATAATACTGGGTAACGTTCAAAGTATTGATCCTAATCCTCTGAGGCACTCAAGTAAACTGCTTTAAGACCCTCCTCGAGAGACCCAGAAGTCAGTCTCTCTCTCTTTCTCTCTCAAATATACCCACATTCTACAAACTACTACTCAACATTAATTTCCTTACAGGCTGTTACGTTCCTCAGGCACCACCAGGGACAGAGGCGACCTTTCCCAGTATTATGCCAAAGGGCTGTCTAAGCCATCTAGAATGGTCACAGACCTCCTGTCAATGTATTTGTTCTTATATGTACAAGTCACTGATGCCTCTCCATCTGACA